AATGCTGATAACCAATATAACCCTGGGCATCCAAGAACTAAATTTTTTCTTTAGTTGAAACAATAACCTTCAAGAACATCCAAATTGACAATGAACACTCAATTAAAACCGAAGTAATTTTGTTTTATTTAGTGAGTAATTTTACGTATTCATGATGAGTCGTTAAATACAAATGTTCACATCGTCGCGCAATAAAAGCTTAGTGGTAAATAATTTAACCATATTGTGGTAAATATTGTGGTAAGCTTAGTGGTAAATAATTTAATCTGGAGCAAATGATATGTGGTTATAAATGAACTTCTTCGGTCACTATGCACATGAGGACAGTATATATAAAATAGTTTGTTAAAAATTATAAGAGAATTCATGTAAGCGTCGCTAGAGCGAGCGTGACGAACTAATCTTGAATAATAGCTAATTGATCGCGTCACCTCAAAGTTCAGATGGTCTAATTGTCAAATCCACCAATGACCGGAAATTAAATGCAACTTCCCTATTGGTTTTATCAGCAAGAGCTTGGACTGAGCGGATAGTTACTCGAACAAACGTTTTAAGTTTATTAAAGATAAACGGCAAATTAATACAAACAAATAAAACTAATGATTTACAGAGGTGCGGCATATGAAACGAACTAACAAGTTAAATGCGGGTGGAAGCTAAAATGCGAGGAGCAAAATGCTAGGAGGAGAGAGGAGGCCAAGTTTTTCTTTCGTTTAGGAGCAAAATGCTCCGATCTCAATGCTAGAGCATTGAGATCTGAGAAAACGCACGATCCTACAACAGAAAACAGGAAGTAAATGTCTACGCATGACGCCAAGAAAATTCACCATATCGATATTGAAAACGTTTCGGAGTCCAGCTCCATCATCAGTTCGACTAAACTACAAATGAATAAAATCACTTTAAAAGTCAAAATCCAAAGACAGACATAAAACCTAAACAAGACCTAACATTATATCGAAATAAACAGGACTAGTTATGAACAACTTAGTCCTAGGGGTACGACAAGAATATAAAATCCTAGCGATTTACTATTTCCAGATTATATGAGCTAAACGCAT